TGTTATTACAATGTTGTCAACTGGTTTGGGTTCCACCTTCATGTTTCTAGGAGTATTCCAAGAGCAAAGTTTTGATGTACAAGAAATGGGCTCAGAATGCTCCTTCAATCCTTGGTGGCAGAAGTCCTCTATTGCAAATAATAAGCCTCCGGCATGATTACAATGACCCAGGCCACCAAACCCTTTCCTGGTAATCAGGAAAATAATATGTATATAAATAATAATAGTTTTATCTTGCTATAAGTATATCTTAATGGGTTGAAATAATGTATTAGTATAATAAAACAAAAGTGGAGAATAAATTTATCTTAAAAATAGAAATGCTATCCCCCGGAAGAAAAAAAATTCAGCTAAAACTGGAAGAAAGGAGAGGACTACATTTCTCACTTGGGTAAAAACTAAAAATTGTACAATTGAAGAAAATAACTCACCCTGCMGGGCATTGACATGYGGCTTGTGAAACTTCGCCGCTTTCGCTGTCAAGCACAATCATGACACCATATTTTTCCTGCTTCATGGAAGCCAGAACTTCCCCTTTAACGTAAGTAAGTTTGTCTCGTACTCCCACTTCCAGTTTTTTTATATGTCCTTCCTTGAAAAACTGAAAAGCCTTAAGCTTTTTGTAGCCAACTTGGCGAATGGAGGCGTGATCATACTTAGCTGTTTTTATAACCAAGTAGTCGTAAAGTTTGAGGAAGTCGAACGGAGGTAACTTGCGCAAATCATTGGTCCAAGCAGAACCAGCGGCGCGTGCTGCAAGGCTTCCGTAAGTCACCTCTCTGTTGTCTACTCGGCTCGAATATGCTGTTGTAACGAGAGGAACGTTTGCTGAAACTGGAGTAGCAGTGGGAGTGGATGATTTTGCTCTTTCTTGCAGCACATGGCATCGAATGACCACGTCTGCTTTTTTCCCAGATGTTTGCTGGCCATGATCTTTGAGAATCTTTTTCAGTTCATCCACTTTTAGCTTTCTCAGATCATCGAGAGATGCAGAATCGATTTCTGACAAAGTTTTCGGAGATTCCATAGAAATCGAGTGATTATGGGGAATTATTATTGTTTAAAATCTCGTATGCCGACGGTATATTACAGCTGATGATTCTCTTTGTAAACAAATGTTACAGTGGGAGCCTCGCATTCATGCCCCAAAAGCGCGCCCGCTGTATGAAATATAGCGGTTATGCAGAGGCGCGGGAGAATTCGAAACTGGACTATTATCAGAAACATCTAAGACCAAGAAACTACAAGTAAACCTTACCATAAAAAACAAAAAACAAAAGAGCTAGTTCTTATTCATACATACCTTATTGTTTATTGGTGTTAGCGTGCATTGGTCATTTGATTCAAGTAGAAAATTTTGCTGCAAAATATTCCCCACTATATATTATCATACAGAAAACACTTTCCGATCGTTCTGTAAGTTCTCCTTACTTTATATACCGATACAAAGCAACATAGTTGGGAGAATTTATTGTAAACAAAAATAGGTTATGCAAAATCAAACTTAAGCAGGATTTAGCCAGAAGTTTCAAAGATTTCGTCAAAAACAAAAAAAACAACAATTAAAACAAAAACAAGTTCATAATTAGTTAAGTTATACCAAGGAATGGGTAAGAGTTAGAGTTGAAATAAATTAGTCGAGTAAACTCTGACTCGTCTGTGATCGCGAACGAAAATTCAACGAATTAATTACATACAAAATTACCTTTTCCTTCAATCTTCGAACTTTTTGTTGTTCTGCCTTTACTGCTGCTGAAGTTTTCGCTTTCTCCTTCGCTAAATCTTTGAGAATGTCCCGTCTAGCTTTCATATAAGCACCTACATTAAAGCACTTGCTAGACATGATTCACAGTCACAAAAGGACAGGACCAAGGCTGTTGACGTCAAAAGGTTCCATAAGAATTTTGACTCTGCTATACGGGACTCTGCTTCGTTTTATAAGAAACAAAAAACATACGATTCTTACCTGATAATTCAAGAAACCAGCATCAACTTTCTCGCGCCATTTCTAATTAATTCAAAGAAAACTGCACAAGCGAAAAAAATACGTTTTTCTAGGCTTCTACGACGGCACAAATATGTGAGGAAGAGTAGACCCACTCAAAATATTCAAATTTTAAGCAACATGGGTAACTTTGGTATCAAAATAAAGCTTATTTATCAGACTTTTTGATTCTTTCATTGTTCTAAATTCGCGCTCTATCCCATTCTGCATAGCGAGCCTTTTATATACCAACCAAAGCTAGTTCCTAGTCCTTCACCCAATTCACGCGGTTGAGATGCCATATTTTGGCTTCAACCGGAAGTCGCGAAACCCGAGACAGCTGACCCGGCGTGCCATGAAAAATTCTTTAAAATTAGTCAAAAGGAATCGCAATGATCTCCAAGTAGTATATAAAAATAAGAATATGTGTGTTTGTCGGGAAGGTTTGCAAAAGGTTAAGTGAATTGTAGGGAAACGATGAAAAAGTGGTCACGTTTGCTGTTTGCGGGAAGAAAAAACGGGAACCTTAATCTGCCTAATGATTTAGAAGAA